GTGTGTGTGTGTGTGTGTTTATGTGCGTGTGTGTGTGTGTGTGTGTGTGTGTGTGTGTGTGTTTGTCTGTCTGACTATCTGTCTATCTCGGTGTGTGTATGTGTCTGTCACAGATTGCCATTCTCGATTCCGACGAAGATAACCAAACATGTGTAAAATCGAAATGCCAATACTTAATCGGATTAAAGGATTATCTCAATCCACTCAAACGCTAGCAATAACACTGTATTATAAGGCACTGATCGTGCACAATCGATAAAATGGAGTGTTTTGTCCCAGCGGAATATTTCTAAAATCTGTTCATCTGCTCTCCTAGCAGCCACCGACTCTGCTACCCGCTGATGTGTTGCTATTTCAATCGATCTTTCTGCTCTAGATCTAACTGAACTCTTCACAGAACGTAGTAATTATTGTGCAAACACAAAGAATGGGCATCTCGAAAATAATGTATGATATGACGTCATGCATTTGTGAGCTGATCTTTGAGAGTAGGCCTACATCATCTACAACCACGAAAGTAGAAGCAGAGAGTAGATCAAATTGGTAGACGTAGATCTAGAATCTAGAAGCAAAAAAAATCTCACCTCGCCTCACAAAAGCGAATCAAACCTCACTTTCGTCACACACAATGTAAGCTAGACGCCACACACCGCACTTGATGAAGCCTACCATGGAGCATAATATTAACACACCATCTCACACAATCCACGGAATAAAAAGAAGAAATAAAGACAGACAAAACATCATCACGTAAATAAATAATGAAATATATGCAGAGCTCTGAAATCTTACCGCCTCTCTCAGTCCCCTGTCAGTCTAGCCTAGCCAGCGTTCAGAAAGCGACCCCACTCTCTCACTCCCTCTCTCTCTCTCTCTCCCGAGAACACTCTTCCACCTAGACGGGCCACTATTTGTTTCGTTTCCAAGGGATGGCGGGCAATAATATATTTTTGTGCGGCCCAGCCCACTCCGTGTGGTTGTGGGTGCGTGCGTTCATTCATTCGAAACGGGGCGTCCAAAATGTTAGGGCTACGCCAAAGAAACGGGACATGAACAGACGGGGCAACACAAAGTTGTACAAGAATAAAATAGCGACACCGATTTTCACTATGGGCAGTGTTAAAACTTTTAACCCCCCCAATTTAGCACCATTTGACGACACAGAGATGGATAAGGTAAAAAGAAGATGATCAAATAAAACATTGATAATATTATCCTTTATCTTTAAAGTATATATTTTATTAGTAGTTTTTTAAAAAGTTGTTCCCGCATTCGATCCGGACAGTGGGGATTGCCTTGTTAGTGAGACAACTTCCTGGGCCTTAGGCATAATGTGGTTGGGTGGCCAGTTCCTTTCCACGCCGCCTTTACTTCCCCAACTCAAAGTCAGGTACCCACTACTACTGGGTGGGCAGGAGGGGGCGAAAATAATCCGTGTCCGAATCGAGGCTCGAACCCGGACTTTCCGCTTCGGAGACGAGCGTCCTAACCGCTCCGCCACCACACCGTCATAGAGTATTAGTACTGTATTACATATGAGAAAAGAAGAAAGATATCCTGTTTGTCCTTTTTTTTGTTTCTGTAGGGGTATGAGCGCTGACGTATCTCACCGTGTGGTTGTGAAAGTTCCGGGTCGTTTCGCCTTGGACTTGGAGCGATTGCAACACAGAATTTGTGCACTTACGTCATGTTGTGTTCTTATGAGATCAGCTCTTAACCGTGTACAAATCCACGCAAATCCAAACAGAGAGAGAGAGAGAGAGAAAGAGGGAGAGGGGTAGTGGAGAGACAGAGAGAAAGAGAGAGAGAGAGGGGGGGGTAGGAGAAATGAGAGAGAAAGACAGAGACAGAGACAGAGATAGGGAGATAAAAGGGATGATGAAATTCATCGCAATAATCCAAACACAACATTCCAGGGACTGACCAGCGGTCACAGTAAGCATCCAGAAAATAACAGCAGCTGCTGCTGTGAAATGTGAAATTGTATAGGTTCAACCATAGCCAGCTAAAATATTAATTAGAACGCTATGTATATGTATGGCTTTAACCTTTCAAAGGACATGGCAGACACATCATAATAATAGTATCATGTCCTATCCGTAGCGTACCAAAGGTAATGTTGCGGCATATTTCGAATCGTCAAAAAAAAAAAAAAAACAGAAACAGAAACGCCAATTTTGAAAATAAC